GCTCTACCACTTGAGCCACAGCGCCACTTCCGGCTTTTTTCTGTTTGCTTATGTGGTGCTGAGGAATCGAACCCAGGGTCTTGAGCATGCAAGGCAAGCGCTCTACCACTGAGCCACCTTCCCAGCCCCTCAGTACTCTCTTTTCTTACCACAAAGTCACTACCTTCCTCCTTTCACATTCACATTTGATCCCTGCACTCATTTTGCATTCTAATTCCTTAATTCCCAGCTATTCTCCAAGTAAAATATACTTCAACTGAAATATATCTGGCAATGCCTGATTTCCTAAATGGCCTGGTTCTTGATTATTTTCTTTCCACACATCATTACGAAGACAGCATTTATTCTCTGAGTCTTTCTCACCCATGCTATTCCTTTTGTCACTCTCCTATTCTTTAGCTCTTTGCTATCACTACAGTCTAGCAGATCTTGCTTCTAATTTCTTCTGGCTCCAATCCTCTTACATAAGACTCTATGTTACATGCCTACTCACATGTATTTATTTCCCTGTTTAACCATCACTTATATTCAGAAGTTTTCAATGGGTCAACAGAATATTTCAATAGCTGGCCAGAACTCAGGGAGGAAAAAGGTGGAGGGAACACAAAGAAGCTATGGCTTCTGACCAAACAAAAAACATCGCAGCCTTATCATTCTGGATATTATAAACAGTAATAAGCTACAAGTGGAATTCTCTTCCTAGGCTTTATATTCAGAACCCTTTTCCATGCAAGAACTTTCCCTGCAAGTTCTACTTGACATAAGCCCTTCCTCCACTCTGACCAGACTGTAATAGGTCCTGTTATTCCTACTTCCACTGAAGAGGGCAAAGATGGAAAAAAAAAAAAAAAAACTACAGGGGCTGGGAAGGTGGCTCAGTGTTAGAGCACTTCCCTTGCATGCTCCAGGCCCTGGGTTCGATTCCTCAGCACCACATAAGCCGGAAGTGGCGCTGTGGCTCAAGTGGTAGAGTGCTAGCCTTGGGCTGAAGAGCTCAGGGACAGCGCCCAGGCCCAGAGTTCAGGCCCCATGACCAGACCCCCTCCAAAAAAAAAACAAAAAAACTACAACTTTTCTTAATAATCAGTAACTTTCTTAATAATCAGTAACTTTTTAAAGTAACAGCTTAGATTTTTCAGTGTAGTCTGTTAGTTTAAGACTGCCAGCTTATCAACACTATCAAATTTATGTCATACCAAGCAAAATATATACCATTAGTAAAGACTTATTTATTTATTTGAACTATTAATAAGTTGTACAAAGAGGTTTTAATTCCCTAAGTCAGGTTATAAGTATAATGCATCTTGATTAATGCCACACCTTCCACTGATTTCCCCAAGATAAATTATTTTGTCTAGTTTGTTGAAGTTGTACCTAATCTCTTCAGTTATGAGTTACAAAACTATTCTGTAATCAGATACTGTATTTTATTAATCATTTCTTGTAACAAGTTTCTTATAGTAAAAAAAAAAAAGAGTTGATAAACTAGTATTTTTTGAGAAAATATCAAATATGTGGGTGTTATAGAAATTCTCACTAATTTGTAATTATTCCATATTCTTAGTTGTGGAGGAAGATCTTTACTACCTGTAAGACAAATGACCTTCAAACATTTCCATCATACCTGTTTCTGAGCTTCTACTTTCTGCTTTCTGGTTGGATCAATTGCATCTACCATCCATTTGATGGTAAAGTATGTTACTGCGCCAAATATTGTTAAACGGAAAATTAAACCAACAACTTCATTCCGACTCAAGGGACGAGAAAAGGCTTCAGCATGTACCATCTTGATTGTTATCCTAAAAAAAAAAAAGAGAGAAATGTCACTAAGTAGTTGCTGTACTAAAATTAGGTATGACTTATGAAGGAGCCTGAACTAACTAAATAAAAATAACTTCAAATCAAAATCAAACATTTACCTTT